GGCTACCTGCTCGGCCTTCCCTCGTGCGCCTTCACGCCCACCGCAGTGCGGCCGGTCGAGCTGCTCGCCGCCGCCTCGGACGCGCTCGGCGGCGCGGTCCGCAGCCCCTCGATGCGGAATGCAGACCCCTCCCCTCCGACCGGCCGTTGGATGGGCGCACTCTCCCTCCCTCCCACGAGCGCCCCGGACTCGGCTGTGCCCCTTCGGACTCACGCCCCCGCCACTGCAGCAGTCACGCCTGTACGCACGCGGCGCGGCGAATCACCTTGCACGGGTCCTCTCACGCATCTCGCGCCTTTGCACTCACCTCAGGCGGGCGGCGGCCAGCCGCGGCTAGCCGACAGGGTGCTCGTGTGGTTGCTCTCGCCCGTGGCGGCGGAGGTAGCGGCGTACGGCGATGTGACCATCTCGCGCCCGGCGCTCGCCGCCCAGTTCCTTCAGGCTGCGCGGCGGCGCGAGGCGTCGGCGGGCGTCGACGTGCAGGAGGGAGGCTGGGGCGAGGGCGAGGAGGCGGACGAGGTGCGGTTGCGGTGGGCGTTCGGAGAGGCGAGGCGCCTTCCGCGAGCGACACTTCCGGGACATGTCCCAGACACTTCCCTGGGCATGTCCTGTAGGCGAAGCGCCTGCTGGCGGCGAACGCCGCGGCGCAGCAGGCGCTGCAGGACCAGATGGCGGCGGGCGCGTCGGTGGGCGGGTCGGTTCTCCTGCTCGAGGAGAGGCTGAAGGGCCGCTGGGGGTCGGTCTGAAGAGATCTGAGCTGAAGGGCGTGGGGGCAGCAGGTCTGAGAGATGCCGGAGCCCCACGCGAGTCGCTAGGCTTGCCGTGGGTGCTTGACCTTGGGACGCAGGCCGAGGGGCGTCGGGCCCTTGCGCGAGAGTCTAATGCTAGATTTAGACTGGTGGTGGGAGAGCGGAACGGGAAGAGCCCGCGCGCACCACATAACCTGTCTACCTGTGCGCTCAAACAAAAAAAAATTGGAGGAAATAAATTGAAAACATATATGCGCAATGCCGCATCGGCGACGGCGTGTCCCTGATATACCACCCTAACCCTCGAACGTGAAACAACGTGCAACGACTAAAGCGAAGCCGTCACACATGGGCACATGTGCACGCCTGATGCACGCATGCCGACCACGCAACACTAGCTGTTAGCTCAAGCTGAGGGCTGATTTTCGCACACAAACGACAAAGTGTTGTGTGCGTGGCCTGTGCCGGCCTGCCACGCTCCGAAATACGAGGAGAGACGATTCGCGCGCCGTCGCACACCCTGGAAGCCTGGTCCCTGACTCCCCAAGGTCACTGATGGTTCATCACAACGTAGTTTGCACGGAAGTCCTCCGGCGTCATGTCGATCTCGTCAAAGAAGTCCTGGCTGAACTGCTCGCACGGCCCATTCTTGTAGTGGCCCGGCTCGTACTTGCAGCCGCAGAGCCAGCACCACTCGAAGTTGCACGTGCGGCAGCTGATGTGGTTGCAGCCGCCGTTCTTCTCGGTGGCGACGCCGCACTTGGGGCATGCCTTCGCGTTGGAGCGGATCCACTCGGCCGACTCGACCTATGGAAAAGAAAACCGTGTGTCGGGCAAAGGAAGCCGCGAGCAGCCGCCCCCCCTCCCCCCAGAAATTGGCCTCTTCCATCAGCCGGTCGCCGTACTTTTGCCGCAGCGTCTCCCTGCCGCGCTCGTCGCTCGCCCGCCACCGCGCGGCGAGGTTGGCGCACGGCGAGATGCCGTGCCACGCCTGCCGGCACTCTGCGCAGAAGGAGGTGCCGCACGAGGCGCAGATGGCGAGGCGGCCTATCCGCAGCTAGAGCGTGAGGAGACGCTCTGTTCACGCTCACGGGTGCCGCAGATGGCGACGCGGCCTGCGCGGCCCTCGACGCGCGGCTCGAGCTGCGCGGGGTACTCGCAGCGAGGGCACCAGCTGGTGTCGGTCATCTCGGCGAGCGACGCGGCGAGCAGCAGCCGCTCGTACGTCTCGTACTCGCCGGCGGAGAGGAGGGCCTTGGCCTCGGGCGGCGAGGCGACGGCGCCGCAGCCAGGGTGCGGGCAGAGGAGCGCGGTGGCGTGGCCTTCGCGCAGCTGGCTGCTCCAGTAGCCGCGCAGGCAACTCTTGCAAAAGGTGTGCCCGCAGGCGTGCAGCCGCGTACAGTCGAGGGAAGCGTACTCGTCGAAGCACACGCCGCAGTCGTGAACCGCCGACGCCCACGCCGCCGCGTCGGCCGCCGCCGCGTGCTGCCGCAGCCGCGCGAGCACCTCTGCGCGGGAGCGAGGCCACCGCTGCGCGCGCCGCTCGCCCGCCGAGGCGGTCGCCTCGTCGGCGCCCGCCTGGCCGGTGCCACCCTCCGCCGGCAGAGAGAGCGTCGCCCCCTCCTGGAGCAGCTCGAGCTGCCCCGCCGCCTCCGTTCGGAGCCACTCGGCCCATGCGCTCACGCACAGCTCTCCGGCGGCGGCGGCGGCGAGGCCGTCCAAGCTCGCGGCGAGGGCCTCGAGCTGGCCGTCGGAGAGCCAGCAGCAGCGGAGGCCGAAGCCGGGCGGAGAGCTCGACGGGTAACCGCTGCCGTGACGCACGCGAAGCGTGAGGGGCGGCAGCGCGTCGAGCCGCTCGCCCGACGGCAGCGAGAGCGGCGCCTCGAGCTCGATCGGGACGCGAAGCTCGAAAGTGCGGCCGCCGCCGCCCTCCACCTGGCACATCTCGTCGCTGTAGATTGCCTCCAGCGCCAGGAGCTCGTCTGCGCGCGCCGCCGCGTCCGCGTCGACCTCCGCTTCGGAACTCGCGTCGCCCTCGAGAAGAGCCGCCGCTCCGCCCCACTGGACGGAAGCTCCAGCGCGGGGCTGGGCTGCTGAGCCCTCGGGAGCAGCGGCGGCCGCAGTCGGAGCAGCAGCGGCGGCGATTGGAGCGGTGGCGCGTGCGTCTGTGAGAGGTGCTCTGCCCGGCCGGACAGAGGCGCCGCGGCCACGGCCGCGGCCGCCGCGGCCACGGCCGCCGCTTCCTTTCACGCTGCCTCGGCCACGTCCGTTGCCGCGACCGCCGCCTCTGCTGGCGTCGCCGCCGTTGCCGCGACCGCCGCCTCTGCTGGCGTCGCCGCCGTTGCCGCGATCGCCGCCTCTGCCGACAACGACGTCGCCCGTATCGCCGCCTCTGCTGGCGTCTCTGGCACTGCGGGGTTGCGGCCGCGGTGGCAGCGGCATAGCTTGGAACTTTCTGGGAAGGCGCGCGCAGCGCCTACGAAAGAAAACGGAAAAGCAAGGGCTACCCGGTAAAAGCCTCGGAATTCTTAGAGACAGGCGCTGAGACGAGCCGCGGCGGGCCACAGGCCGCCCACGCCCAAAAGGTTTGCAGAATGAGCAACGGGACCGCAGAGAAGAAGGACCCGTATCTGCGGGTGCTCGTGACGGGCGGCGCCGGGTTCCTGGGCTCGCACCTGTGCCGCCGGCTCGTCGCTCAGGGCCACGAGGTCGTCTGCCTCGACAACTTCTTCACCTCGCAAAAGACAAACGTGAAAGCTGCTGCCCAGCCCTGTGCTCTCTCGCACATCGCCGCCGGCATCAGCACCCGCACCCAATGCGCGCAGGTGGCCGACCTGATCGGCAAGCCGAACTTTGAGCTCATCCGACACGACGTCCGCGCCCCGCCGCTGCCGCGCTCCGCCGCGCCACCCGCTGTCGGCTGCCCCGGCCGACTCCACTCTCACACGTCGCACTCGCACGCTACCGCCTCCCCCGCACCGGCTGCGCCACCCCGCCCGGCGCGCCTCCCGCCGCGGCAGGTGACCACGCCCTTCTTCATCGAGTGCGACCAGATCTACAACATGGCCTGCCCCGCCTCGCCGGTGCACTACCAGCTACGATTGCCGCCGCGAGGAGGGACGTCACCGCTGGGCCCTCTCCTGAAGCTTCTGGGAGCCTTCGCACAGGTACAACCCCGTCAAGACGATGAAGACGTCGGTGCTCGGCGCCATGAACATGCTCGGCCTCGCCAAGCGAGTCAAGGCACCGCCGCCCCTCCCCCGCATCGCCGCACCCCGCCCTTCGGCCCGCTCCTTCGGCCCGCTCCTCGCCCCGCCCCTCGGCCCTGGACGGGAGCCGACTCTTTACGGCTGCTGCTTGGCCCTCCGCAGGCTCGCCTCCTCCAGGCGTCGACCTCGGAGGTGTACGGAGACCCCGAGGTGTCGCCGCAGCCGGAGGAGTACTGGGGAAAGGCGCGCTGCACACTCTGATGGCCAGCGAGGCACTCCTCACTGACGGGGGGAGCGTCCTCCGCGGCACAGGTCAACTGCAACGGCGTGCGCTCGTGCTACGACGAGGGCAAGCGCGCGGCCGAGACGCTCTGCTTCGACTACCACCGGCAGGTAATGATTTGTTTATTTATTTATTTAATTAATTATTCATTTATTTATTTATTCGACTACCACCGGCAGAACGGCGTCGACATCCGCGTCGCGCGCATCTTCAACACCTACGGGAGAGCCGCCTCTAGATGGCACCAGATGGCCGCACTCGCAAACCTCTCCGCCGGCCGCACTCGACTGTGCGCCGCATCCCCTGTCCGCTCGCAGCCTTGTGTGCGAGGTGCGGAAGGCAGTGGGCGAGGCCGCGCTGTTGGCCTGACCCTTGCGGCACGGTTGGCCTGACCCTGCTGCCCTGCTGCTCCAGGCCCGGGATGCACCCGTACGACGGCCGCGTCGTCTCAAACTTCATAATGCAGGCCCCCCCGGGGGGGAGGAGATCGCTGTGGTACGGCGAGGGGTGGGGAGGGGTGGGGACAGACGAGTCCCGTGTGCCTGGGGCAGGCCATCAACGGGGAGGACATCACCGTGTACGGCGAGGGGAAGCAGACGCGCTCCTTCTGCTTTGTCGACGACCTCGTCGACGGGCTGATGAAGCTGATGAACCAGACCAGCACCATCGGCCCAGTCAACATCGGCAACCCGGGCGAGTTCACGATCAAGCAGGCGGCTCCTGCCCTGCTCCCGCACGCCTCTCCCCTCCTCCCCCGCACGCCTCTCCCCTCCTCCCCGCTCCCCCTCTCTCCCCCGCTGCTTCTGTGCCCGTGCCTGCCCTCTCTCCTCCTCACCGCCGCCTCCCTCCTCCCTGCAGCTGGCCGAGCTCGCGATCAAGCACACCGGCTCCAGCTCGAAGATCGTGCACCTCCCGCTCCCCGGAGACGACCCGCAGCAGCGAAAGCCCGACATTACCAAGGCAAGCCACTTCCTAGACACTCCCGGCACACTCCGTACACCTCCCCGACACTTCCACGCCCTTCTAGACCCTTCCTAGACCTTCCTCCGACATCACCAAGCATTGCGTGCGGGCCTGTGGCAGGGCGCCCCGCACCCGGCTACCCGCGATCACCTGAGATGCCCGAGGATGGCGGCTGAGACTAGGCGCGCGAGATCCTCGGCTGGGAGCCAAAGATCAAGTTGGAAGATGGGCTGCCAAAGGCGGTCGCATACTTCTCCTCGCTCGACCTATCCCGCTTCCGCAAGCCGACAAAGCACACCGCGCACCTCAACACGGACGCACAGGCGGCCGACGCATCGCGCGCCTCCAAGGCCTAGGCCCGCGCCCCGTCTCTCGGCCCCCTTCGGCCGGCGCCGGGATGAGCCCTTTGTGGCTAGCTGCCTGGCCGTTGCCTGGCCGCGCTCGCAGCTCCTTCCCGCGGCTCTGGCTGGCGCGGCGGAGGGGTGGGGAGCGGGTCGAGGGAGCGGGACGCGTCGGTCGTCGCGCGGCTTGGAACGCGCGGGCCCGGGCGTTTCGACTGAACTCTGAACGCGTGTCTCTCCACCGCCGATGCGAGCGTGCGGTGTGTACCTCTATCTGTGTGTGGATGTGTGCGCATACCCGGGTTGTGCTGTGGCGTGGGGCGTGGCGCGCACACCGCGCACATGCGCGCGCGGGCGGAGAGAGAGACGAGCCTCTTTCACGAGTAACTTTCATCTTGTGGGAGACCGTTCATACCTTCTCACTCTGTCTGACCCACGCCGGTCCCCCACAAATCTCTCGGGACTCTCGGCGCCCGGCGGGCCCCCCACAAAAGAGCACACAGGAGCCACAGCCCACACGCGCCGGGGCTTTTAGCTTTTACCAGGTCAATGCACACCGCCCACAAGTCATAGTCACACACCGAAGACCGACGATGTGTCCAACATGCGCACACGCGACTGCCCAACTCTCGCGAACACCGAGATCTCTGTGTGTTGTTTTTGTCGGATCTTGTCCCTCTCGCGTCACGAGTTCGAACGAGTGTCCCTCAATTCCTCTGAGAGAAGAAGCCTAGCAAAGGCGCGCTGCCTTGTACATAGCCCATAGGCACGAACCCAGTGCACGCGTACACCACGGCATAAGCGACCATGGCCACTACAAAAGCGCGCAGCAGCAGGTGACCCCATCTGTGAGCACGACTCAGCGGAGAGTGACGGAGGCTCTCGTCGGCGAGGATACTGCTCACGGCGACCGCCATTGCATTGCTCACCAGTGACAGGAGGACAGAGTGCAACAGTGCACTAGCCTGCGCCTCGCCACCCCGCAGGTCAAGAGCCGATTTCAACGCGGGAGCGCACGCGGGAGCGCACGGAACGCGCATATCGCAAAAGGGAAGTAAAATGCGCTGCGCTGCAAGTTGCCGCAACGTGATAACAGGCCCGCCGGCGAGCCGGAAGGCCGAGGCTGGAGAGCCCCAGGGGGGGCTTGGGGTCAGTTGTCGGAAGAGGCGAGAGATGAGCTGATGCGGCCTCTGAGAGTGGAGTCGGGGTGTCGAGCTCACCGGGGGAAGGCCCGTCGCGGTGGCGGCCGGACCACCGTGATATTCGATGGGGAGGGCCACGCCTCCCCGAGCCTGAAGAGGAGCCGGCGGAGGGGGGGGGCGAGCCGAGGACGATAGAGAGGCCGCGGGTGCGGGCGCGATTTGTCGACCAGGGAGAGGTGGCTCGACCTCCCGAGGAGGTGCGCTGAGCCCTGGTGTCGAGGTGTCGCGAGGCCCGGTGTCGAGGGTGTCGAGCTGCTGTCGAGGGATAGAGGTGTCGAGGCCTGTCGAGGCCTGTCGAGGCCTGTCGAGGCCTGTCTAGGCTGGGACCATGCTTGTCCGTGTCGAGGTGTCGAGGAGTGGTGTCGAGGGTGTCGAGGTGTCGAGTTTGGCACCTTGACACGGACGAGCATGGTCCCAGCCTAGATGGTGTCGAGGGGTGTCGAGGGGTGTCGAGTTGGTCGAGTTGGCATGGGGTGTCGAGGTGTCGAGTCGGTGTCGAGGTTTGGTGTCGAGGTGTCGAGGCCAGGGCTCAGGAGGTGCGGTGGGACGATCCCATGCCACCGCCCTCGCCCAGGGAGTCGGGGGCGGGGTCGCCGGAGGCGGAGTCGACGGGATCGGACAGAGGGGACGAGACGGTGGCGGAGCCGCGGCTGAAAAAGCTAAAAGGCTAGGAGGGGAGGTCGGGCCCTGCGCCCGTCAGATATCATCGGAAGGCGGATAAGAGGAAGAACTCGGAGGAGAGGGGAGCCTCCTCCGGAGTGAGGATGAGGACCCCGCGCGAAGGGGCCCTGAGCGGTGACGGCGTGTGAGAGTGCGTGTCGTGTTCATGTCCGGTGTTCATTATAGCTCCGAGTAGAGGGGGCGGTCTGCTGCTAGGGGAAACCCGGAGCGCCCAGCTAACCCTCGGAGACCCGTGTTTACTTTAAGGCCCTTTCCCTGCGAACGCGCACCCCCGGGCTAGGGCTCTCTAGCCCGTAACCCGACACCGATCATCCGGATCAAAAAGAACGCCGATGCTGCCCTACAGGCTGCGCAGACAGTGCTAGCTCTTTATAGCGAGGCGACCAGGCGCGAGATGTTCACTCTCGCGCCACATCCCTACAACGGGGTGCATTGTACCCACTTGCACGCCGGCACGAGCGCGGCGCCGCAGTGGGGCAAACGGGGCATCTGGGGCTAGCTCAGCTATGAGCATCACCTCTGCCGCTTCTCGCCATCCATCCCCGAGGGAGGAGCAGCGCGCCCGAAGCAGGTGAGTCACGGCCGCTAGGTGCAGCGAGCGCGGCGGGCCAGAAGCGAGAAGGGAACGTCAAGGAGAAAATCAGCAGATTCCAAGATTCAATCTCGTTTGACAAAACCCACACGGAGGTCGGGTAACTGGGAGTCAGGGAGCTCGGGAGTATAAGAAAACTAGCACACCTTGCGCGCACGCGCGCCAAATTTGTTTTTCTGTCTGCAACAACAGCCCGAGGGGTGAAATGTCTTTGTTGTCTCTGTAATGAAGGGCCCGCCGCTCCGCCTACGCCGGCGATGACCCTCTCGGCAGAGCGACATCGCGAGCACCGGGCAGAGAAGGACGCAGAAGCGGTTGGATGGAGAGGCAGCCGGCGCACGAGGAGAGGCAGCCGATGGAGCCGACGAGGTGAGTAGACACGAGTTTACCATTCTGCCGGGGGGGGGGGGGGGGCCCAAGCCCTCCCCACCACTGCTTACTCTGTACTGCATGCAACTCAGCAGTGGTCGCAAGCGTCGCAAAGGGCAGGGAGGCAGCCTCGCGCGCTGTCGAACGCCCCCCCGGCCCAGACAGAGGCATCACAATCATGCTCTGGCCAGCGTCTGGTGGGTGGGCATTGCGCAACACACGCCGCAATCAGCCTGAGAGCAGATGATGGGGTGGGCGCGGGTGGACGAGAGTGGAGCCGAGTTGGGTGGGAGAGGGAGCACGCACGTGCAGCGGTGCCGAGAGTGGGTTGAGATGGCACCGCCTGCGGCCGCCCGGGCGGCGACGGCTTGCGCAGGTATGTTGTTCATGTCCTTCTCCGCCGCCGCTTGGCTGCAGCAGCCAATGACGCCGCCCGCCTTTGCGAAGGGGCGTCTGGACGCGCTTGGCGGTTGACGCCGGCCCGCCACTGCGCCTCGTGCGCGTCCACCTCCGTCGAGGTCGACGCGTCGAGATCGGCGCGCATCACCGAGATGCCAGAGCCCGCCTTCGCCGACATGATTCCCCGCCGGATAGCTCGGTGAGTGTCGCCCGAAACGGAAAACCGGACACGGGGAAATACAAGTAAGCTGTGCAAAAAATTTTCTGGCGTCGGCGCTGACGCGCCGACAAAGCTGGTGCCGACCCCGACCGCCGGCCGAAACAGCCGCGTCCAGCCCGACCTGCGGCTTGTACGCACGCCGGCAGATCGCGACTGGAGGCCTTCACACAGAAAGTTATGAGGCTCTCGCGCCTCCTCTGGACGCTCCCTCTGGCGCCGCCTCCCCTGCGGCTGCGTTCTCCATGCATGGCCGGGAACAAGTACGGCAGGAAGGACTACTGGGATGATCTGTACCGCGGCTCAGGGAGCGACGGACTTCCGGCTGAGGCCTTCTCTTGGTACTGCGGCTGGAGCGAGCTGGAGCCGTTCTGGTCGGAGCTCGTGGCGTCTGGCACGCCGCGTGTCCTCGTTCCGGGCATGGGAAACGACCGCTCGCTAGTGGAGCTCTATGACGCCGGCTGGAGAGACGTCACGGCCTTTGACTACTCCGAGGACGCGGTGACGCGAGCACGTGCCCTCGTCGGCAGGCGAGACGTCCGGCTGCTCTGCGCCGACGCCACCGCGCTGCCGTTTGCAGACGCGTCGTTTGATGCGGTGCTCGATAAGGGCACCCTCGATGCCGTTGGGATTGCGGGCGACACGCGCTTGCAAGAGGCGGTGGCAGAGCTGACGCGCACCACAGCGGCGGGCGGCGTCGTCGTGACAGTCTCCCGCGCCCTCGAGCCGAGCTCGCTGCTATCCGCTTTTACCGGGCAGGACTGGAAGGTCGAGCGCGACGGAGGGCTGCACGTCGCGGAGGGCGGCGAGGTCTCGACCGACCTAGCGGCAGGGCTCTTTGCTTGGCGCCGACTGCCAGAGGGGCCGAGACGCGAGAGCCTCCGCGCCCCTCTCCCCGCGCTCTGCTCGCTCGACGACGCGACGGCGGTCGCGGCGCAGCACGCCTGCACATCGTTCGCGAGCTGGCTCGTCCCTGGACGCGTCCTCGTTGGTCGCTACCCCGGCTCCTGCCCCTCCCGCCCCTGCACGGCCGCGGAACAGCGCGAGAGGGTGCCCACCCGTGCGCGCACGTTCGTCTGCCTGCAGGCGGAGCTGCCTTTTGAGCACGATTCCGTCTCTAGCACATTCACCGCAACGCACGCTCGTCTGCCTGCAGGCGGAGCTGCCTCCGCAGGAGGAGGCCGCCGCGTGGCCGCCAGGGGGCGTCGCGGGCCAATCAGGCAACGCCGTCGCGCCGCAGACGGCACGGTTCCAGCCATATCGCGCCGACGCCCCTGAAGGAGCGCAATTCCTGCACTTTCCGATCCCGGACCGCGGCGTCGCCGACTCGCCCGAGGCACTGGACGGGCTAGTGTCGGAGCTGTCGCGCAGAGCCCTCGACGGGCAGGTCCTGTACATCCACTGCTGGGGCGGGCGAGGCCGCACCGGCATGGTGGCCGCCTGCCTCCTCGGCTCGCTGTACCGGTACGTCGGCGCGGAGGAGGCGCTGCAACGCGTGCAGCGCTGCCTGTCCCTTCGGGAGGCGGGGTGTCGCTCGCCAGAGACAGAGGCTCAGGTAGAGGCGGTCCGCGAGTGGTTCAAGCGGAAGAGACCGTAAAAAATCGAAGGACGCTTGGACGGAGCTCGGAGGTCAGGGAGCTCCAGCTCTCGGAGGGGAGACAACCCTCGCAGACGAGCGCGACGCGTGCCGCATGACCGCCGTGAGCAGAGACACACACCACACTCTACATGGAAATCACTGAGACGACAGCGCAGAGCGGTGAGTGGGCGCGCGTGTGGCAACGGCGGCAGAGAGAGCTAAAACGCCGGCACAAAAACGAGTTGGCGTAGCTGCCCCTGGCCCACAAACCGGTGGACTGGACGCGGTGCAAGCCGACTGGTCCAAGATGCCGGCGAATCATGATTCGCCGTCGGTGGCAAGGCGACGCTACACCGCCACTAGTAGCTATCCTCTCCCGCCTGCTCCAAGGGCGCGTCGCCAGTCCTCACCTTGAGCACATCGCTGCACACCCAAGCGCCGTCGGCAAGACCCATCCAGCTTGGCGCCAGGAAGCAGGTGAGCTCCATGTCGTCGGCGGGTCCGGAGCACTGGTACCAAGTTCCCGTCTCGAGCTTCTTCATTGCCTCACTGCGGAAGATCTCGCTCGCCTCCTCGGCGATCTTCTCCTCGAGCGGCACGCACGCGACGCCGGCCACCTCAGCCTCGATGTCGATGTTACGAAGCTCGTTAGCGCGACCCATGATGACGAGGCCCGGGCGTGGCGACGCCAGAGGGGCGCGGAGCGTCGATGCTAGATGAAGGAGCACCATCGTTTGGGGATGGGTTAGAAGCAGGAGCCCCCACTGATGAGTCGCGGGTTTTCTTCTTTTTTGAGAAGTTCAGAGGACTCTTTGTGTGTGGCAGCAAGCTGGCTGTGTGTCTTGTGAGCTTGTTTGTGTCTGTGTGTCGTTCGTGCGTGTCGTCATCATCTGTCCTGCGTCCACCCATACCGCGCTGGTGTCCAGTCCGAGCCTGGCTGTTCTTCACCTTTCTACCTACCTATACCTCAGAGGATCGAATTCCCCGAAACAAAATCTACTGAAAAATGCTGCGATTAGGTGCGCAGTTTTTGAGCTTTATTGTCTTCCCTGCCCCCTGCAAGCTGAGCTGCACAGGCTAAATAAAATAGCTGCGCGTCGGCGGGGGTCGAGACGCCCCGTCGCATTGGCCCATCGCGAGAGCTCAGTTAGGCCCGGAGGCGTGACGATGTGTCCAGGGCAGCCATTATCCGCGCTCGCTGCGGTGCCAAACGGCGCGCTAGCTCTGGGGACGACATGGCTCCCACCATGGCGCTGGCAGCAGGGTTGTCCTTGCACAGCTCCTCCGCCAAACGCCGCACGCTGCCTGAATCGAGGGCCGAGCGCAAGCCTTCAGCGCTGGGCGCGCTCTCGTCGCGGGGGGAGGAGGCGCCGGAGGACGCGGAAGTGCAGGAGGAGTAGATTGAGCCCAAGGTGCTCATCAGAGACTGCGAGAGCAAGCGGTCGGCGTCGTCGGACATGGGTCGATGGCGCAGCGCTGGCCGCGGCGACAGCTCCGTCAAGCTGACCCCCGATCCCGGCTCTGCCCCGCCGCCTAGCAAGGCAGCGAGCGTCGCCACGTCCACGCCGCGCGAACCTCCCGCCGAAGAGGAGGGCCCGGCGTCCCCGCTTCGGCCCGCGGCGCCCATTTGAGAGCCGAGAGTCGCCTGCGGCGCGGGGACGCACGAGGAGGGAGCGGCTCGGATCACGTGGTGGAAGGGCGTTGAGATACACGGGACAGAGACACGGGACAGAGCGGCTGGCGCCTGGAGGGAGGAGTTCAGCGAGATGGACGCGTCGCAGTAAGCGCCGCAAGTGTCGCACGTTGAGAAGGGCGTGTCGAACGCGGAGGCGGGCTGCGAGAGTTGCGCCTGGAGCGGAGGCGTAGGGTGAGAGGGAGGGAGGGGGGGGGGGGGTCGGATCGACGGGGCCGTGGGGGCGCGGCGCACGTCGAGCGACCACGTTGGGCCTTTAGCGACGGCGAGCTTGACGGCGCGCTTGAGGGAAGGCGGCCTTGCGGGTGAGGGAGGATTCGAGCTGGACGGGTTCAGCGTCCCCACGGGACTCGAAGGCGGCCGCGTCACGCTCGGCAGCCGGAGGCCCCGGTCCCAAGCTTGCCCCGCGGCGTCGTGAGCTGCCGGCGGCAGAGGTGACGACCGAGGTGGCGGTGGCGGCGAGGCCGACGCCGACGGCCGACCCGCCGACGCCGCCCTCGCCCTCGCCACCGCTGCCGGCATCGGAGGTCGAACGCCCGCGCGCGCCCGCAAGGAGCTCCGGTTGAGGGATCGATTGAGGGAGGGGAAGGGAGAAGCGAAGGGGGTGGCCCAGACCGACGAGGAGGTTGACCAACGGCCAGACCCTTCGTAGACTGACGACATCCGTTGGCGCCTCCGCTTTCGGCGGATGATGCGGGCGACCACCCACACCATCGTCAGGGCTGCACACCTGTGGGGCGCGCGCAATCACCGCTCATGCACGGGCTGGCGGTGCTCGTGGGGCGGCTCGGGCAAGCGCTCACAGTAGGAAGACGAAAACGGCGACCACGAGACTCACCCTGCGAGGTGAGGGAGGGTGGTCCTCATCGCCTCGGGTGGGACCGAGCAGGTGTCTTGCGGGCGTGTGCACGGCTGTGAGGCGAGCGGCACCTCAACTCGTCGGATCCACCACCCTCCGTCAAGGCCGCTTGCCACCACGGTGGTGATGGCGGGGCGGAAGTAGACGGCGGTAACGCCGGAACGGAGGGCGGAGGCGGCGAGGGCAAGGCGGACGGTGGCGGCGGCGAGGGCGCGGCGGAGGGCGGAGGCGGTGAGGGCGGAGCAGAGGGCGGTGGAGAGGGCGAGGCGGAGGGCGGCGGCGAGGGCGAGGCAGACGGTGGCGGCGGTGACGGCGAGGCAGACGGTGGTCGTGGGGGGAGAGGTGGCCGGGGCATCTGAGATGCTGCCTAGTCGAAAGGCGGTCACTCCCGACACGAGGTTTCTTTTTCAGTCTTTGGCAAGAGGAGCAGATTGCGAATGAGCTTGCCTGCGGTGAGGGCGGGCGAGTGCACGGAGCTAAGTGCCTCGCCGTCCTCGCAGGAGTCGCTTAGGCGGCTCCCGTGGTGTACCTGTGTTAGTGCCAGTGCGCGCCAGACCCGTGCCCAGTGTCTCTTCTTCTTCAGAGAGAGATTTTTATTGTTCTTCAGTAGGGTGCCCACAGGACCCAAAAAAAGAAAGGAAAAAAGAAATGGGGCACTCCCGATCGCAGCACTTCATGTTGGCTAGTCGAGATATTGAGAGTGTGACTAGGAGGGTGGGACGCTGGGGATTCTCAAAGGTATACCCTTGGAATGGCCGGATCCAGCCTTAAAGTACGAGATCGCGCGCGCTTCGCGCACAGCACCGCCTGTTCTCCGCGGCTGTGTGTAGTGTGACGCGCGCGTGCCGTGTACCAGCAGAGTTGGGCGCGCGCGGCGCGACGGCGCCCGCGAGGGAAGGCGCGGGTGCAGCGGCCGCCGGCGGCCGTGCCGCCCGCCAGCCGGCGCAGCAGCGGCCAGCGCAGCGGCCGCCGGCGCAGCAGCCAGAGCAGCCGGTGCGCGCCTTGCGAGGCGAGTACTGCCGCCCGGCAGCCTTGAGGCGGCCGGGCGGCAGTACTCGTTGGACTTTGCGAGCCGTGCGCGCGCCGAGGCGCCCGCGGCGCGCGCCCGCCCGGCTGCTAGTAGGAGGCGGCGCAATATGGCCTATAGTACAGCCCTTGAGGAGGAGGAAGAGGCTGGCTGGCAGTGCTGTATGCCGCCGAGGGGGCAGTTTTGGGGTGCTGTCCCCATCCCAGGGGGCTGCAGAAGGCGTCCGCAACCGGGACAACCCGCCCCCCCAGCCGAGGCCGGTCGAAGCCCACTTGAGTGCAGCCATGAGGAGTCCTCTTGGTGCTCCTGGCGGCCGTTGGAATGGCGAGCGCGCGCCGATGGGGGGGGGGGGGTCTTGCTTGCTCCACACCGAGCGCCATCGGTCCGGACCAGTGCACTCACCGAGGGGTGGCTTGCACAAGGTCTGAGCCGCGGGCGCTCGGCGCCAAGTGCAGTGTCACGCTCGCACGCGAAGGGGACACAATGGGAAACCCTCGTTTCCTATGTACTCGGTCCCCCAACGGAAGAGGCCTCTCTCCTATTGAAACATTCCAACATCAGATTTGCCTCGTGCGTCCCTTTTTGACCCGGAAAGCTATTTTCTTTTGGGTCCTGTGGGCACCCTATCTTCAGTGTCGTGCGAGGGAGTTTTCATAAAATTCTTTTTCCTGACATTTGCCCAGTCTGTTCTTCACCTTCCTACCTAACCTAACCTGCCCAGCAGGCCGCTTGAGCACACGCACCTCTACTCGCGCACCAGCCAGGCAGCCAGGTCTGGTGCTGAGTTCATCATATGCACTGTCGTCGACCATGACAACACACCGAAGAGAAGGCCCGCCGCCTAAACATGGGCTGCAAGGCGCGCGGGCAGCCCGGCCCCTTCTCCCACAAGACCGGCCACGGCTACGTCAAGGCGCAGCCACCGCGGTTTCTACCACGACGCGATCTTTGTCAAGCGCAACAACTTCAACCTGCTGATCCACGAGACGTTCGGCGGCGGCTTCTCGCCCACCGCCGTTCTCAAGCTGCGCCGCCTCGCGCGCAAAGTCGCGCGCGGCAGCGTTGACCGCACGGCCTACTCGCCCAAGTACTCGCTCTCTTTTATGTCCCACCATGCAGAGCGCATCTCTCTCTCTGTTGTGCGAGGCATGAACCGCGCCATTCGCTCTCACCTGGCAACCCTGTCTGCACGTCTCGCGCGCGCGTGAACAGGGCTCCAGGCCCCAAATGACGTGTGAATGTTCGAGTTGTTTGGTATTGCTAAAACTCTCTCTCTCTCTCTCCAAAGCGATCTAGCCAGTGAGCTCGATGGCCATGGCGCCGATTGGCCGCCGCTGGCCGCCTCGGCGGTGGCCGACACGCGCGATCGTGCCTCACCCGTTTGGCCGGTCCGTCCGGCGCACTCGCTTCTCTCGAGGTTCCCGAGGTGGATATCCTTTGGCCGCGTTGGGGGGGAGCGAGGATGGCACGCTTCAAGTTTGGCAAATTCTTTCTTTCAAATGCGCGCCAGTCCCGTCGTCCCGTGCCTAGTGTTGTGAGAGAGCGTTGGGTGGGAAAATTCTTTCTCGTGCCAGTCTTCTGCTGTGAGTGAGAGGAGCTTGTCCACGGTTTTGGTCTGGCTCGGCAAATGGACCGAGCGCCGGCTACCGAAAGAAAGAAAACCGGTCCCAACGAGGGATGGGGGAGGAGGACAGGGTCCCCACCTGAACGAGCAGGATTTTGGAAGCGCCGGCTACATAGGTCTGTGTACTCGCGGCCCTTATTTTTCTTTGGCTCTTTCGCGGACTTCCGAGTCAGTGGAACAGATCCGGTGTGTGGCGCGATGCTCTGCTATCCACAACTCCTGTCAGCCGCAGCCCTTACCCTCCCACCGGCGCCAAAGGTGTTCAAGGCGCTCGATCTGGCAGTCTATGCGGCCGACCGGCAGCGGGACGAGCTCCTCTCTGGTGTCAAGCGCTCCCTGCTCGGCAGCGACCCTCTTGACGCACTTGCCAAGACCGAGTACGCTTTGCCGCCAAAGATCTCGACTGTGGCAGTCACTGGCGCGAACGCCGGGATTGGCCGCGAGGCGGCGCTCTTCTTGGCGCAGGCGGGATTTGGCGTCGTCTTGTGCTCTCGCGACCAGGAGAAGGGAGAGAGCGCTGCAGCAGAGATTCGCACCGTCTCGCCGGAAGCACGTGTTAGTGTTGTGCCGCTCGATCTGGCATCGGTGAGGTCAGTCGAGGCGGCCGCGCCGCTGATTATCTCGGCCGCAAAGGAACTCGGCTCACCGCTGCGCGGACTTATCCTCAACGCGGGCATCTGGCCCGGCTCGCTGCAGACGACCGCCGACGGGATGGAGCTCGCGCTACAGGTGTGCCACATCGGGCACCAGCAGCTCACGCAGCGGCTGCTTCCCGACCTCGCCTCCTCCTCCGGAGGCGCCGAGTCGCGGGTCGTGACGGTCTCATCTTCGGCACATGCGTTCGCAGACGAGGTTGGCACGGACGACCCGCTCTACGCCTCCACGGCCTTTGATACGAACAGGAACTATGGGCGGGCTAAGTTCGCAAACATGCTCTTTGCGCAGGAGCTCGCAAAGCGCGCCCCGCCCGGCGTCCTCTCGACGGCGGCCCACCCCGGCCTGGTGCTCACGACTCTCTTCAAGGAGCTCGGGCCGAGCTACGCCGCCGCCTCTGCCGACTCGCCCACAGGCCGCGCAGCCGTCGACGATCGTCTGGCCGGCATCCCCGCGCTGCGAGCCTTGCAGTCCAGCACGCCCCTCAAGGCGGTGCTCAAGTCGCCGCAGGAGGGGTGCCGCCCGCTCCTCTACGCCCTCCTCGCGCCGGGCCTGCCCGCCGGCGGCTACGTGGCGGACTGCGAGGTGCGCGACATCTCGCCGGCGAGCAAGAGCGCCGCTGCGCGCGAGGAGCTGTGGCAGTGGACCGAGTCGTGGCTCGAGGGGGCGCTCCGCGAGGAGGCTGTTGAGGCGGAGCCGCTGGAGGAGTGCGGCGGCGACGAGGAGTGTGGGCTTCCGTCCGATTGATATAGTAAAAGAGACGCGGCTGAGCCTGGGTCGCGGTGATAGTAGAGTTTCGCAACTAACTACTCGACAGAATCAGAAAGCGCTCTGCCAAGATCTCTCGATATTGACATCAAACACAGAATTCCTAATAAAAGGCTCCGCATGGGTACAATGGAGGAAATTTAAGTTTCCACAGTACCACATAGCGTAGTATCTGCTCAGCAAGCACTAGGCACCACGCTGTCGTCAAACCCAGGAGGGAGGCCGAGAGCGTAGAGAGGCCCCTCCGAGCAAGGCTCCTCTGCGGGCCCGGAACTCGGTCCGCAGCTACGCCCTTCGATAGAGCCCTCCCCCTCCCTCTCCACGGACAGAGCGACAGCACAGGGCACCTCGGGAGCGCCCTCGCTCCATGCATCTCCGTATCTCGCGCGCAGCCTTGCTCGCTCTTTCTCTCGCAGCCGCTCGTGCCTCTCTTCGAGCTGTAGCCGAATCAGCTCGTCCTCGCGCTCGCGCTTTCGCTTCCGCGCATCCGCCGCAGCCTGCTTCCGCTTCTGGTCCTGCTCCTGCTTCCGCTTCTCCTCGGCGATCTCTGCTTTTCGTCTCTGCAGCTCCCGCTGCGACTGGCGCGCCAGCTCCGCTCTCCGCGCAGCAATGTAGTTGGCAACCGCAGCCACTCCAGCATCTGCGCTCGCTGGAGGCAGCTCATGCTGCACGTCGTCGCACCGGCAGCACTCGAGCGAGCAGCGGCGCAGAGGAGGGCGCGGCTCGGGCGGCACTCGCGCGGCTCTCGCACGGAAAGAATGACGCGCGTATGCTCCGGGATCGTCGGGCGTCGCGAGTCTCCCTTGGCAATCACACTGCATGCCGCGCAACGCCGCCGAGTAGAAGCGCTGCATCTCATCTTTCGAGTGGTAGCGCGGCTCGATTGGTGGGTATGGTGGGTGCGTAGAAGGGAAGTTATCGTCGGCAAACGAGCCGCCAACGATCTCGCCGCAATCGGTACGGCAGTGCGAGCCTCGCGTGCGCAGGAACACCGAGAGGTTGAGGCTCACGCGGCTGACGGTGCGGTGCTCAGGCTGCGGCAGGTGCGTCGGCACCGCACGGGCGGGATGTCGCTGCGGATAGCCGCCGTGGAAGTCGAAGGAGGCGGGGAAGAGCTTGGACTTGTCCCAGATGCCGGTACTCGCCGCGGTGAACGAGCCCTGAAAGTAGCGCGAGAGCTCCTGCACGCACGGCGCCGGCGGCAGCTCCGACTCGCAGTGGCTGCGCGGCGGCCACGAGCTCCACCGGTTGCGGTTGCACGCCTCGCCGATGGCGGCGATCGCAGCGGGGAGCGTCGCCACCGGGTAGGTGAACCGCGGCGGCAGCGGCTCGAGCGCGAGCTTCAAGTTGGACGAGACATGCACGTCGCAGGCCCACTTGCCACCCACCAGCTTGAGCGGCTCGCGCTCTCCGCACGCGGCCTGCCGCAGCACTGATGCCGCCCACGCATGCGCACCCG